ATCTCTTGTGAGTGGTGAGTACAACACCCTGGGAGAGGAGCCCTGCAAACATTCAAGGCCAGGCTGGGGGGCTCTGAGCCATCTGCTCTAGTTGAAGATGTCCCTTCTCAACAGGGGGTTGGACTGGATGAGCTTCAAAGGTCCCTTCCAACCCAAACCATTCTATAATTCTATAATATCTGTAACTCCTCCCTTCCTTCAAGCACCACACACACCCCCACTGGCAATGAAGGTTTCAAAAACCCTTCTGAGGACAGGCACCCAAAAATAAAGTGCAAGGAACACCAGTCATTCTTGTAAACCAAGCCCCAGATTTTGGGGCTCATTGCTTTAAAGGCATAAAGCAAACCCAAAAACTACCAGCAACCCTTTTGTCTCAAACCAGCAGCAGCCAAACAGTACCTGAGAGATTTAAAAGAATTATTTTGGCTGGACAAAATAATTTTCTCTTGTTCAGGTGGATATTTGTCATCATCTCAGCTGTCACCTTGCTCCTGTATGCTCTCCTCTTGCTGTCACTTTACTTCATGCTCAGCAGGAAAATAGGTAATTTACTGTCCTGTTAGTTTTTTTTTCATTTTTTGGGCCCCAGTGTGGAATGGGAAAGGGTCAGGGCAGGGGTGGAGCACCAGCATCACTGTGCCGTGCTGGGGTCCAGGCTGTGGGAGAGCTGTAAGTGATGTGAGCAGTGTCAGTGGGGGTCATACAACCTTGGGTTGTTTCAAAACCATTTTCTTTCATTGCTCTTGTTAGCGAAGTGGTGGGAAAACCCCACCAGAATCCACTGACAGCACATTATTTGTGCTGAAGCTCCACTTCCTGGCAGGAAAGTCTTTCACTCAAAACTGCTGCTCACATTTGTACATGACCCAGCCCTGTTTGCCACCGGGGTCAAACTCATTCCAAACTGGCAAGGAGAGACCCTGATGCTGTGATTTAACACTGCAGCCTCTCCCTGCAGAGCAGGGCATGACTGAGTCATCTCCATAACTGAGCTGACGGAGCTGTGCCCACTCCAGCACACAGCAATAATTATTGGGGTTTGCTGTGGGGCAGTGCTGGGGCTCCTGCAGAGGGTGGGGGTCTGTGTGGGGTGTGGGGTGCATTGGGCACAGCCAGGGCAAGGTGCTCACTCTCCTCTTGGTCCCAGCCCAGCATTCCCGTGGGATGCAGAGATCCAGCAGCCCTGTGGCACAGCCCACCCTGGATCCAGCCCCTGTGGCACAGCCCACCCCGGATCCCACCCCATCAGCAGGAGGGGCCAAGGCACAACAACCAGCACCAGCCTATGCAGGTAAGGGGGTCCTGCAGCAACAGGGCTTTGTCCTGGTGCTGGAATGGGAACTTTAGGCTTGGCATTTGTGTGATGTGCCTTCCCTTCCAAGCTGGGAAGACCTCGAGGTGGCCATGGGGCACAAGAGCCACTCACCAGCCCAGTTGCCTCCTGTATCTCCCCGGGCTTTCCCTGACTGGTTTCCCACAGGCCAGGGGTGGGGTGGGGAGGGCTCACACTGGTGGGTTTTGGATTTTCAGTTTGCACTCCTGTAACCCCCTGGGAAGGGCTGCTGGTGGTGATGTGTCCTGTGTTTCAGGGAGCAGCGACACCTCCTCGGACACCTCGGAGGACTCATCTGACAGCCCCTCCTGCCCACAGGTACAGCCCTGGGCACAGAACCTCTGCCAGAACGGCCCCAGCCCCGCAGTGGAGGTGCCAGCACTGTGTCCATGTGGCTCCTGCCTGGCTCGAGACCCCCAGAGCAGCACCAGGAGTGGTGGTGGTGGGGAAATGCATCAAATCATATTGAGATGCCATCAGGGGTGCTGGGGTGGTGGCTGTCCTCTGTCCTCTGCCACATGCAGCGTTCCCCATTTAGAGGGAAACATCCCCAGGGGCCAGGGAGATCCTTGGGCACAATTGGGCATGTTAGGGAAATTAAGAATATTAGAAACAAATCTTCCCCGTGAGGGTGGGGAGGCCCTGGCACAGGTTGCCCAGAGAAGCTGTGGCTGCCCCATCCCTGGAAGTGTCCAAGGCCGGGTTGGACGGGGCTTGGAGCAACCTGGGCTAGTGGAAGGTGTCCCTGCCCGTGGCAGGGGGGTGGAATGAGATGAGCTTTAAAGTCCCTTTGAACCCAAACCATCCCATGATTCTATGAAGGGGTGAACACTTTTGAGTGGGTTCAGGGCAAAGACCCCCAGGTGAGTGCTGGTGCCAGACCTGGGGTTTGTGCTGCTTCTGCAGGGCCAAGGCTCAGGAGGAAACATCAACTACACATCCCTGGTCTTCCCAGGGAAAGGCCGTGGGCCAGGCCCTGCCCAGGACTACGAGAACATGAAGGCTGGGACTGACTATGTCAACGTGGACCCCAAGAAGAAGAAAGCACATCTCTGGCCCTGCTCCAGCCCCGTGGCATCCCAGCCTGTGGAGTACACCGAGGTGAAGCTGTGACACCCTGGATGCTGCTGGTCAATGCACAGCTGCACCACCAGGGCTGCCCCTTCCCTCGGGCAGTGCCTGGCACAGGCTGATGCCTGCAGCTCTTATTGCTTGCCACACAAGGAATGCAGTTTACTTGGCATTTTACTTAAAGGCATCGCTGTTCCCGGAGCGTGGGGTGGGGCATGGAACTGTTGCTCCCACCCAGGCTGAAATGTGCTCCCCAGTTTTGTGTGATGGCCCTTTTTGTCATTTCGTGAAAGCAAATGAAACATGCAGTGATCTTCAAAATACCCACCCAGACTGGCTGACAGCTCCTCTGAATGCTGCTTGTTTTGCTGATCACCCTCATGAAATCTTGTTAAATGCAGTTTCTCCACCTGTGTTGCCCTTGCTGCCTGACAAGCCCTGATCCATTGCCCTTCCCTGCACCCCCTTTGCTTTGATGCTCAAAATATTTCCAAGTCTCCATTGCTCTCAGAGCTTCCATGGGGGTTGGGGTGGCAACGTGGGCATCTTAACCCCTGGCCACACATCCAGGGGGCTGCCAGGACCAGGATAGGAGGGAGGCTCACCTGGGGAGCTTCCTCTCCCAGCTGAAAGCCACAATCATCAACCCAGCTGGGAAATATCCAAAGGGCTCCCAGGGGATTTATATCCCCCCTGCTCAGGGGGTTCTGGTCTTTCTGGGTTTTGAAGGATACAGCTGTCCACGTGAGTGTAGGCAAGTCAAATCCCTCTGTGTCTGGTGGGGAGGAATGCTGTTCCCTGTCTCCCACCTTTTGCTTTCCCTGCTCTGTCCCTGCACCTGATGCCCTGAGTGCCTGGGTCGGCCTCTCCCCACCTGGGTGATGTCCTTGCTCCTCACTCTGCATTTTGTTACCTAGGATTATTAAAGAAATAAAATTCCAAAGCGTTGGGAAGGGGGAGTGTGGAGCTGGGAGCTCTTTGTGAGGGGGATGGAGCTGCTGCCTCCCAGCACAGCCCCCCCTTCCTCAGGGATGGAGCTGCCCCAAGTGCATTTCAAATCAGCTCGGCAGCAAAGTGCTTTAATGAAAGGTTGTGAGACAATTGATTGGGTATTGATCATGGGGGGGGTGAGGGTCAGGCACTCCTGGTTTTATAACCTTGCTGTGCAGATCTGGCCCAACTTGAAGGGCACATGAAGGAAAATGTTCAAAACCCCAAACCCATCTCTGGGAAACATCACTAGAAGCCAGGGGAGGTGTGGATGTGGAACTGGAGGTGAGGCCAAAACCAGCCAGGGGGAGTTTCTGGGAAAATTGATTCAAGTGCCTGGTGATTAAAAAGGGAAAATAATTCAAGATTTCAAAATATTTTACTCTTAATGTCTTATTTTTACAGATTTAGCCTGGGATAACAGAAGGAATAACACACATTGCTCGCAGGGGATTTGGCACTGTTGCTGGGACGTTTGTACATCACCATCAGCAGCTCCCAGAGCAAATGGATGCTCTTTCCTGCCTCATCCATGCTTTATTCTTACACAAAACAGCTTCTGGGATACCTTCAATGAACAGGGAGAAGAGCAGGGGCCAGGCTGGGACTGCAAGGCCATGGCTTGCTCCAGACCCCCCCCTCCTCTGTGCTCCCCAGTTCCCTGAGGCTGTGTCTGAGCCCCGGGTGGTTTTGGCACCCTGATCCCTGCTAAATAAGACAAAAGCAGCAGCAATTTGAGAGCAGCTCTGCACTGGGATGCAGCAGATGTTGAACAGCCAGAGCAGCCCCACACGGGGGTTGGGGGCTGTGAGTAAACCTGATGGGAAGTGCCAGGGATCGGAGGGAAGCAGGATCTGAGCTGGGGCGGGGCCAGGGCTGCTCCGAGCAGCTCCTTGGGGGTGTCAGTGCTGCATTTTTGGCCCTCAGACGGGCACAGTGCGATGCAGGACAGCTGTGAACTGCAGGAGAGGACGTGTCTGCCCTGTGGCTTTGCTCCAGCCCCTCCCTGGCCCCGGGGAGGTGGGCAGGGGGTCAGCCCCAGACGTGCCCGTGAGCAGAGGAACAGGCTCTGCAGCCCAGAGGGGTGAGTGTGCTGTGCCCCAGGGCGGGGCAGAGCTGTGTCCAGTTTGTCTGCTCGGCCAGCAAAGCCCTGAGGATGGGAGATGAGAACTCACGGGGAGCTCTCGAGCAGATGGAGCCACGTTGCCTCCTGCTGTGCTCAGGCTGCTTTGCTGGCACCTGTGAAACACAAAAAGCTCGAGTCCCTCCAGGAAGATTTTGCTGGTGCAGCATCCTCTTCCTGGAGGATGCAGCATCCTCTTCCTGGAGGAGAGCAGCCAGAGGCTCCCTAAAGCCCCGGGGGGGTGGGTGCTGTGGTCAGGCAGTGACTGGAGGGGCTCTGTCCATCCCCCCCCTCGATGCTCACAGGGTGTGCAGCAGCAAGGACAAGATGGACAGTGATGCTTTCTGGGTTAAACAATCAGATTTACGCAAAATGAAGGCTACCAGCTGGGGGGGGAGAGCGGCTGTGACACACAGCTCGTGGTGTCACATCTGCTGTGGCAGAGGAGGGACGTGCCCTGGCATCAGTAACCGCGGGATCTCAGAGCGTGCCCGACTCTGTCACCCCCTCCTCGCAGGGTGGGTACAGCTCCCTGGCACTGCCCCCGTGCAGGGGGAGGCTGGCAGGGCTGGCGTGGTGGCTGTGGCTCAGGATGGTGGTTTTCCTGCTGCAGAGGCTCCCGGTGGAGGCGGGTCTGCGCAGCCCCGCCCGGGGGCCGCCCCGGCAGCGCAGGCATCGCGCGGCGTCCTGGAGCAGGTGCCCGCTGAAGAACATGTAGATCCAGGGGTTGCAGCAGCTGCTGAGGCTGGCCAGCAGCATGGTGAGGCTGAAAGCCACGTTGGTGGACTCTGGGGAGGCAAGAGGGAGAGATGAAACATCCACAAGGGCTGGGCGGGGTCGCAGTGGGCAGGACCTGGGGGCTTTTTTTGGTTTGGGCACTTGTCCTTTGTCCCATTCCCATCCCACCTCACTGGCATTCCTTTGGGTAGGAGGGTCTGCAGTGTGCAGGCAGAGCCAGGCTCTACCCTTGGCAGAGGGTTCAGGTGGGTGACGTTCTGCAGTGGGGATGTTCCAGAGCACATCTTCAGGGAGCCTTCTGGGAGGTGAGACCCAGCAGCTTTTGGATCTTCCTGCAGCCTGTTTGCTGGCCAAAGCATCTCCCAGAGGAGTTTTGACCTTGGATAAAGTTCCTTCTACCCATGGACAGGCTAGGAGAGCTACTGAAAATTTCCAGGGGGGAAAAAAATTAATCAACCCATGAAATCAGAAACACACTTGTGAAACCTCTGTGAATTCCTGCATGAGGGAAGGGACATGGCACGGGTGTTCCCACATCTTTGCCAGTCCCTGTGGATGATGGCCAGAAATCATTATTTTTCAGTGGTTTTTCTGATGAAAGGAATGATTTGACTCTGGGGAGAAAACCTGTAGACTTCCCTGTGATTTTTTTAAAAAATGACAGAATAACAGACAGCTCTTGCTTTGAGTTTGTTAAAAACTCAGCAGATCCACGGGAACAGAGCATGTTCCCAAGGCTCTGCCCACACCCTGTGCAGCTCCCCCCATGCTCACCAGCACTCACCATCATCAGGAGCATCCTCATCCCACACTGACCACATCTGCATGCTGAAGAAGGGCGCCCAGCAGGCCACGTAGGCGGCCACGATGACGAAGGTCATCTTCACCGTGCGGATCTTGGCGCGGGAGATGGTCCTCACGCTGCTCACCCGAGAGGGCTGCCCGCCCTTCTCCGGGGGGCAGGGGGCAGGAGGGGCAGCCCCCGGGCCAGGGGCACCGCTCTGGGTCTTGCCCTTGAGGTTCTTGCAGATCTCGTGGCAGATGAGGCCGTAGCAGACGGTGAGGACGCCGACGGGCAGGATGAAGACGCACAGCGTGGTCCAGGTGATGTAGGCGCGGGCTCCCCACGGGTACCTGAAGTCTGCCCAGCAGTCCAGCACCCCCGAGCCCGGGCGAACCTCCCGCAGGGAGAAGATGAACACTTGGGGCAGGCTGAGCAGGCAGCTGAGCAGCCACGTGGCCCCGATCATGGCGTAGGCCTGGCGGGTGGGCTGCTGCAGGGTGTGCAGCGGGTGGCACACGGCCAGGTAGCGGTCCAGGGTCATGGCGATGAGCATGTAGGTGGAGGCGAACATGCTCAGCACCTGCAGGTACTTGACGGCCCTGCAGAGGGGGTCCGGCCCCAGGAAGCGGTAGGTCACCTTCCAGACGAGCTGCGGCAGCACCTGGAAGAGCGCCACGGCCAGGTCGGTGAGCCCCAGGTGCAGGATGAAGAGGTGCATGCGGCTCATCTTCCTGCGCAGGCGGTACATGGCCAGCAGCACCCCCGCGTTGCCCACGGTGGCGATGGCCAGGATGGTGCCCAGCACCCCGACCTCTGCCTTGGCCAGCTCCTCGTCCCGGGTGTGCAGCAGCGTCAGGTTGGGGTCCCCCGCCAGGCCCAGCAGCCCCTGGCCGAGCCCAGGCCGGCTGTGGGGAGTGCTGTTCCCACCCCAGCCTGGCTCCATCCCTTCGGGAAGCTGTGCAGGAGCGCAGGCAGCTCCAATGCTCCTCTTCAATGCCAGCTAACCCCTTCCCTGTCCCCCCAGGGCTGAGAAATCAAAGTTGGTGCTTCCCCTGAGCACCAACTCCTGTGCCCCTGCCTGAGGGCTGGATGTGCCTCCTCCAGCTGTCCCCAACACCGGGACACCTTGTCACCTTCAGCACCACACTAACCCTGCGTCGAGCACCTGCAATTCCCTCTCCGCCTGTGCTGCTCTGGAAAAATATTCCCGTGGAGCAGAGAGGTGCAAGAGCCCCTGCTTAGTCCTTGATGTTTCTTCCCTCTTCTCTAACCGTTCCCAAACCCCTGTTTCTCCTTTCACTGCTCGTCTCCTGCATCCCCCCTGCGCTGGTGAATCGAAGGGGAAAGGGAAGTTCTCTGCACTGCTTCTCTCTGTAGCAAAAGCAACAGCAAACGCTACAGATGCTGCGTCCCTTCGGCCCTTTCATTCCAAGAATGGCAGGCGGGCGAGCACTTCCCAGCCCGTGGGAAGCGTGTCTGTCTGTTTGTCTGTCTGTCTGTCTGCCGGCTGTGGCTCTCGGTGTGTGAGCACCGTCCCCCGGGGCTGGGTTTTATTTGTCCCCCGGCAGGTCCCTCCCCGCTGGCCCCACCACGGCTCTGCCCCTGCGCTCCGAGAGCGCTGCCGGACCCTGCACCAGACAGGTGAGTGCTGATCCCCCTCCTGCTGCTCTCTCCGGAGCTGCCATCCCCGGGTTTTGCCAGGGGATTTTACCAGGGGATTTTACCAGGGGATTTTACCAGGGGATTTTCTGGGCACGAGCCAAAGGCTGGGAATCCTCCTGCGCTTCCACCTTTGTCCCCTGCGTCCCCTCATCTGCAGCGAGTCGGGGCTGGGGACAGCCTGCCCTTGATTTGCTCTCTCCCTACAAGTCACACCCCCCCAGATCTCTGCCCTTGGCTTCTCCTGCTGGGATCTCTCCGTCCCAAGAGCCTGGGGACGAGGGGGTGCGGGTCCCCCACAGCAGGAGTCAGACATCCATTGGCTTTGTGCAGCTGGGTCTCAGCCCCGCAGCAAAGTCACTGCAAACATCATTTGCTGGCACCACCTCCCGGGGCTGCCCGGTTTGATCTGCTCCCCCTTTCCTTCCCTGTGGGATACAGATTGTCCCCGAGACATGACCAAAAGCCTGAGTGTGGCTGCTGAGCCCTCAACTAAACTGTGTCATTTTTTACTCCATCTGACAGGAAACCACCCCGAAAGTGGGGAGTAAGGTCGTGCCCAGCCCCAGAGCAGCCTCTGCCGCGGGTCACCAGCGTTTGCACCATCTCTCATCCGCACAGAGCCTGGGAAAGATCCATGGGAAGGGCAGAGCTGATGGGGAGAAGGGAGCTGCAGAGGTTTGGTGTGTGCCAGAGGGAAGGTGATGCTCAGCAGGATGAAAGTGTGGTGGAAAATCCAGGTGAGTCTGGAGCTCAAAGGCTCTTGCCCCTCACCTGCCCGAGAGCTCTGGCACCTCCTCACCTTCCCTTCCCACTCTTTTTTGAGCCTTCAGTGTGTTTTCCCACACGGTGTGTGATTGCAAAACATTTTCACTGCCTATATTTCACTGCCTGTATTTCACAAATACACCTGGTGAGTGTGTGAACACACAATTTCACTTCTATTTTGCAACATTAAGGCTTTGTTTTCCCTCCTGGCTACTGAATGGTGGCAGTAAAGAAATAAGAAATGTAACTACACACCCATTTCCAGCCTTTTTTCCCCTTTCCCTATGGGGGAAAGATGGATTAAAAATCACCTGACATGGGCTCTGTCCCAGCACGTGCCTGCTGGACATGGGCTCTGCTGCCCCAGCTCACAGGCTGGTGATATTACAGCAAAATTCCCTGTGTAAAGGCAGTTATTTGCTGAATAAATTTGCAGATCACCTCTAATAACCCTAAATGAGTGCAGTTTGTGTCTAATTAAAAGACATTCATCCTTATGAGACCCCACGGATATAAAGTACCCATCAGAGAGTGCCTGGTGGAGGTGCTGGAGGTAGGAAGGTTTGCAGTGAATAATGTAATTTTCTGTGTTTGTGATCAGACAGCTGATTTTCTGGAAGATTAATAGAGGGCAGTGCAAAAAAAAAAAAACCTACAAGGCAATGAAAGGCTGAGAGGAAGGCAGAGATGGAAGGGCAGATTCTGCAGAGAGAAAGAAACACTGAGAGGGTTTTGAGGGCAGACTCAGCTTTTTCTGGCACCAGCTCGATTTGGGAGCAATTCCCTTGGAATCAGAGCTTTTACTCCAGATTTACCTTAGCTTAGTTACATGGAGAATTCTCCTGCAGAGGTGCTTAGAGGAAACCTGAGCTAATTCACAAATGAGAAATAACCCCAGAAAATAGAAATTTGTTGTGTGTAGGGAGTGAGATTATCACGGGAAAGAAATTTTTTTGGAGCAGATGGATTGAAAAATAAACTCACTTTCATTCATGGGTTTCCTGAACATTTTGATGCAACCCCAGGACTGGGTTCTCCAGCCCAGCAGCTCGGGAGTTCCTGGCTGAGGAAGGTGCTGGTTTGTTCAGGGCTCTGGGAGCTTTGGGGAAGTGATGGCTCAGCCTCACCTGCAGCTATTTAGGCTGTTTCCCCCTAAACCAGGCCCTGGGGAGCAGAGGTTGGAGGTGTTTCACGATGAGGAAAACTGCAGTTTTCTGGTAATGCATCTTTTTGTGTCCAGTGAGGGAGGGAGGGCACATGTGCAGGGTGGGGGTAACCTGAGTTATCCCCCCTGCAGGGTGACCCGAGCCCTGAAATGTGCTGAAAACTCCTGTCTCGTGGTCTGTGATCCCTCCTTTCCCCCCGGGGGAAGCTCAGGGACCACGTAACTGGATTCCTAAGCTCTTAAATTCAGTTTGTCAGGGCAATGCTGGATTGCATCACTAATTTTTGGCAGCTGATAACACCAATACACCACAAAGCACAGCACATTAACTGCTGGTTTTACTACAGCTGGCATCCTCCACTCCTTCTGTGGAGCAGAGGTAGAGATTTTGTGATTGCTAAATCATTTGGCACAGCACCTGGTTACTTTTTTTTTTTGTGGGTGGCTTGCTGGTTAAATAAATAAAATTTCCTGGCTTGGGTTTATATATGCTGCTTTGGCTCCCTTTTCAACACAAATATTTTATTTGTGGTGTGTGATGCTGTTAAACTTTTATTGCTGACAGCACAACACAGGCTTGGTCTGTCTGTAGCATTTAATCACTGAAATGCCTTTTGTGGTTCAGGTCAGGAAAAGCAAGATTTGGTCATTTTGCTCTGGTTCAGAAGCTGTAAAATTAACGGTGTTGCAAGTGCTTTATGGCATCTTGGGGTGTCTCCTTGGGAAGGCTGAGGGCAGGGATGAGGGCTGGGAATTCCTGGTATCTCGTGCTGTATTAAATGCCAGCTCCCTGTCAGAGTGAAGCCACGAATGAGCTCCCCACTGCCTCCTGAAAATATAAACTGCTGAGACTTCCCAGTTCTTGGAGACTTCAGGACCTCAAAGCCCAGCTCGCTCTTGCCACTGACCTGACTCCAGGTAGGACTGTCCTTTGCTTTCCTCAAACTTGGGGAGTCTGGAAGCTGAAAACTTGCTATAATCTGAGTTTTTCATTGCTTGAAATGATCGTGAAGAGCTCTCAGAAAAGTCACCTTGTGGTGTCTGTCTTGGGCAAACAAATTTCTCTGCAGAGTGATTGCTCCCCTTCCTTGGAGTGCAGAAGGATCCAGCCCAGCCCTGCTCCATCCTGGTACCAGGTGAAACACCCCAAAACATTAATCTGTTTTTAAATGCCCCCTGGTTGCACTCTGGAGGGAGAAAACTCCCCAGTGAAATCGGGCAGCGTCACCTCTCGAACCGCAGCTTCCATCGTTTTAAGGGAATTATAAACCAGCAGCGACTGTCAGCCTCACCTTTTCCTCACCTCCCCCCTTTCCCTCACTCAGATTTGGTTTTTTCCCACTTAATTAAAGCCTCTGATCCTGCTTTAATATTAGAGAGCACGTCTGGGTGCATAAATAAACATGCTGAACACATGGTGAGTGCCCCAAAGCCGTGCCTGGTGGGGACTCTCCTGGGCAGAACAAGCCAGTTGGATTTTAATGGAAAATCCATGTGAAGCTGTAAAAACTGGCAAGCAGAACAACAAAAGATGACAGTGTTGTGTTAAAGAATTAAAGGATCAGTGTTTAAAGTGTTGCCTTGAACACAAACTTGGTGGGCTGAGCTGCTGTTCCCAGGGGTAGCTGTGTCCAAGCTGGGAATTTGACAGCCCAGCTCGTCTCAGAGCATCACTCCCTTCATCCTCCTGGTGTCCCTGATCTTTGGGACAGCCTTGCCCACCCAAGCACCCCGAGAATCCCAAAACCATGCCCAAAAGCAGAGTTGCCCCCCAAACCCCACAGGTCAGCCCATACCAGTGGGGTTGGGACCAACCTCCTCTCCCTGGCATGGGAGAGGATCTCCCCGGGATCCAGAAACATCTCCCAGGCTGGTGAAGAGCACCAGGAGATTTCTGTTAAATAAAATAAATCCAATCCTGGGGCGTTATTGCAGCTGATAACTCCATTAGAGTTTACTTTTTTCCTTGTTGTTTCGCTGTGTCTTCTCATTTGACCCACATGTGTGGAAACCTGCTTAAGTAGAGGCAACTGCCAGAGGCAAAATTGAATCTACAGGCATTTTAGAGAGAGCAAATTACTTGTTTATCATCCTTATACTCTCCCTGTTGGTCTCCTTGTATAGCCAGGGATGTTTAAAGACTTTGGTAGCTGTGAAATGCTGCAATTTCCTTCCCTGCTCCCTCATCTCCTTTTGCTGTTACCATCATTAGCATTTGAAAACCAGACACGGCCAGAGCGTTTACAACCTTAAAATCAATAATAATAATAAAAAAACCCCAAACAAATTACATTTCAAGGCTGGAAACAAATGGCTTTTTCCTGTTCTCTGCTGACAGGCTGCTGTGGGGGGAAAATCTGTGTCCGTTGGCTGTGGTGTGGACAGAGGGGAAAGGAAGATTCACTTGGGACAGGATTCCCACCCAGGCAGCAGTGACAGTGTGGCCAGGCTGGGAAAGGTATTTAGGTTCTGTATTTTGCTTTATTCACTGGATATACGGATTTTTTTTTTAAAAATGTTATTTTTAATAAACCCCTTGGTGGGAAATCTGTGTTGTTTGCAGGGGTCACTGCCAAGCTCTGGTCCTGAGCGTGGCCCTGTGGGGATGGGTTTGTGTGGGGTCAGGATGGGTTTGTATGGGGTCAGGGATGGGTTTGTATGGGGTCAGGCTGGCAGAGCTGGTCCCCACAGGCAGCTCAGGGCAGGGTGGGTGCTTGGGACGCTTCAGGCATCAGCACCTACAGCCCACATCACCCTGAGCTGGGACTGGGGCTGCAACCCCTGGGGACAGGGATGCTGGAGGCATCTGTGCTCTGGAGTGGGAGGGGAACCTGCTCTTACCCTCCTCCCTCCCCTTTGTGCAGGCAAAGGAGAATAGAGGATTTATAAAACACATTTAATTGAAAATCTCAGTACAGAGGGGGAATGAATAAGAACCTCCCCACGGCCTCAGATCTGCTTTGTCTCCTGTTGCCCTCCTGGCCTGATGGAAATGCTGTGGTTATTCAGGGCCTGTTCTCCTCCAGGTAGGAGAGGTATCAATCAGGGTTATGAAAGGAGAGGAGCAGCTGCTTCAGGATAATATGTTAGAAAATGATGAATCATGGGGAAAACGTCTGCAGGGATCTGCACTCGCCCTGCTGCAGCAAAGTTCAAGGCTTTGTGATTAAAGGTTGTTCTTGCCTGTTTGACAGTCAGCCCCAGGTTGTGCCCAGACCCAGGGAAGTGTGGTTGGGATGGTGCAGCTGCCTCAGCGAGACCCTTTCCCTCCGGGTGAGCAGCACTGAGCTCAGCTTGTGTTGTCCAGTTAAAACACCGGGAATTCCTCACCTGCCCTGACGTTCTTGCCCTGAAAGCTCTTGGGCTCTCAACCTGAGGGACTTCCAGGTGCTGAGAGACAAGTTCACAGAGTCGAGATGCGGTCACCAGAAACGCTACCGCTGCTCTTAAGCTGTTTGAGCAACTTCTTTTCTTGCTACTCTTTATGTGGAGAACAGCGCAAAACAAGCCCAATTAACGCTCATTATTGTAGTTTCACCGGTGGTTTATCCCGACATGCTCAACAGATAAGGAGTGCCAGCGGAATTACTACCTTCGGCTCGCATGAAATGTGTTGGGTATTTTTTTTTCTCTCCCCATCAGCGTGTGTGAAAATCTCCTTGGAAACGCAGCCCTAATGGTCTGTCTCCTCCCCGAGCCGCCGTTCCTGCAAGCGAAGCAGAAAGCTGCGCTCCGTGTGTGCCGCCTGCTCTCCTAATTAACTGGCTGTGGGCACAGGATCCCGGCGGTGCTGATGGAGCTGTAACCCCGGGGTGCTGGATGTGTGTGTGTGGCTCTTGATTCCTGGGCATCCCTGGATCGTTACTGTGCCCTGATGATCCTGATGCTGCGGGAATTGCCGGGGTGGGGGGCTCAGATTTGGAGGCTGGGCAGCACCACAGCTCTGCACACCCAAGGGGGTGCTGCCCCAGATCTGTCCTGGTGGTCACCCGGGGGAGCAGACAGAATTCCAGGTGGGAATTGGGAGATGCAGCTCCAGCCCTTTGCACGAGAACAGCAGTTTTGACAAGGAATTCCAGCCCCACCAACCTGCTCTGAGCCCAGGTTTGGGTTGGAAATGGGCACCAGCTCTGAGGGTTTGCAGGGGTGTGGGGAGCCCTTCCCTGCTCCCCCCAACACCCACCCACCCACCCACCTTGTCCTCTGGGTAGGACAGGAGTAGTTAATCCTCCCGCCGCTCTCATCTGGGTTCCCTGGCAGTTGGAACAGCGGGATGGGAGCCTTCGGGAAGGCAGTTAATGCCCGTTAATCCTCTCCCGGTGCGAGGTGTCTGAGGAGAAGGTGGTAAAGTACAGCAGCAGCACACGGCGTTCTGCCTGCCAGGGGTGAGTGGCTGGGTCAGACCAGGCAGCCCCGACCTGTTTTCGGCAGCAGTGTCGGTGCCGAGGGGAAAGGGAAGGTGCAGGAACACGTGGGACCAGCTCTGGGGGATGTATCAGCACAGGACACTGAGCCCTGCTCTCCCTGCTCTGCCCTGAGTGGGTCTGAAGACCCCATTGACACCATTCCCTGCAGCTGGGATGCTGGATGGGCACGGCTGCAGTGAGAATTTAGGATTATGCCCATTAATGTTGGTGCTGTAGGCAGGGGGTGTGTTCCTATGCCCAGGGAATTATTCAATTGAGTGGGAAATCAGGTTTAAACCTCCCAGGGGTCCTTGGGTAAACAGCTGGATATTCTTCTGAATCTCGGGTTTTGAGTTTTCTTTGTGAAGTTCAGCGTCTGGTTTCTTTTGGGAAGAGCTGGTATTTTTGGTTATGAAGCAGGCAGACCGTCCATCTGTCTTTGAAGAGCCTCTTGCAGACCAGGATCTCTCTGGGGAGACAGCAGTGGTGAGAAGAAGGGATGGTTGCTTTGGTGGTGAAACCAATAGTCCAGAGATCTTATAAAAGCAACTTGTTTCCCTGCATCCCGATTATCCACTGAAGAATTCCAGCAGCCATGGAATAGGAATGGCTCTGTGCCCTCCTCAGAAATTGATTTTTAACCACCTGACTCGCTGCCTCTAAGTGCCTGATAATGAGGAACAAAGGGGAGTCTAACACCTATTTTTCAGGCAGACCGTGGACTGCGGGGGTTGTTTTAGCCGAGGGCTGGCTCGGGCTGTGGCGCTCGGTCTTGTGCCTCCAAAAACATCGTTTAACATCGCCAGACAATGGCTGTGTCTGCGCCTCCGCCCTGCACGGACGGTGCTAATTGCTGAGGCATCTCTTCAAGCCCTTCCTCGCACACCGAGGGGCTGCTGGAAGGGAAACCAGGGGCTGGAATCAGTGGATTCCTCCAGCGGCCTCTCTGTTCTCTCCCTGTCGCCTGGAAAATGAACCAAATTAACATTCAGGGGAAGCATCAACAGCTGATTTGTCTTTAGGGTTTCTGTACGGCCACGAGAACGTGGGTGTTGCTGCAGGAGCAGCAAAATAATGTATCTCCATCCTCCTGGCTCCAGGGGGCTCATCCCAAATCAGCTGCCAGAATGGGAATTGTGGGGAGTCCCTGTGTGGTTTAGGTGGGGGTGGGAGGGACAGATGCTCGGGGTTTTGTGTGTGTTTGAGGGGTTTTGGTGTGTTTGAGGTTTTGCAGAGTTTTGTTTGGCAAACAAACAACAAAACCCCCAATACTGAGAGAGCCCATGCCCCGATTGTAGCCCTGTTTTCAAATTAGGTGGTGGTTTGTGTGTGGTTCTGCCCCGAGCCCTCCAAGACCCCGTGTTTGCTCGTGTTTAGTAGATATTCAGTGCTTGTTTCTATCTAGAGAGCTCTTGCCTTCCTAATGAGCACCAAAGAGATGTGGGAGTGTAACCCGGAGAGCTGCTGCCTTTCCTTGCAGAGGATTCACATCAATTCAGGGCATCAAATCCCAGCCCGAGGCTTAACGAAGCGCCGTCACACCGAGGTGAGAGCGAGCCCAGCCCCGGCGAGGGGAGGGGGGCAGATTTACAGCTAACTGTTGGATTAAGAGGAAATGTGAAAATCGCTGCTAAAGCCCTCCGTGTTCAGCCGAGCGAGGCAGGGAGGGAGGCTCGAGCTGCCCCAGGGTTCTGGGATCGTTCACTTCGATGGGGAGACTGTAAAAAAAAAAATAATTAAATTAATGTCTAAGTCCTCCAAATCTAATTGGGACAGGATTATCCCCGAAGGAAACCAGAGATGCAGAGGAGAAGGGGCAGTTCCCTGAAGTGACCTGCAGCAGGGGAAGAGCCAGATGCTGTTTTCCCTCCTGGTGATTTGAGTGGAACAGAATTCCCAGCAACCAGCCTGGGGGCTCAGAGATCCCTGGAGTCCTCTAGTAACCTCTTGGGACACCAGGCCAGATGGCTCAGCCACACCTGGATGTGCAGAGCAGCACTGACAGGGCAGGGTAATTATAATTATAAGGAATTATTAGCAGGTTGCCTGCAGAAGGTGTGGCTGCCCCATCCCTGGAAGTGTTCAAGGCCAGTTTGGGTGGAGGTCTGAGCAATCTGGTCTAGTGGAAAGTGTTGCAGGGGAGGTGGAATTGGGTAATCTTTAAGGTCCCTTCCAACCCCAATAATTCTGTGGTTCTGTAACGCTGGGGGATTTCTGGAGCATCAATTGGGATCTGACCTAATGTGTCAAATCTTGCAAGTGTGCATTTATCCAAGTGTGGGAGCAGGAACAAGCACAGCCTTCTGCTCCACTCAGGGATAATTCTGGTATTCCTGAACAGTTCTCTGCAGGGAGCCACCAGTTCCCTCCTCATCCACCCCACTTGAAAAGCCACATCCAGAGTAACAGAGCACAAGGATTTGCTCGGGAAGTTAAAGGTCCCCAGAGCCCTGAGCAAGCCCATTCAGCCAATATCCCAACTTTTGACAGCCAATATCCACTGTCCTGCCCCCAAACTAATTAATTTTATACATGATTGAATTTAACACCATCATTTAGCTCTGTCTGCCGGCGGAGGCTTTGAAGTACAAAGTGATTATGCAGGGGACAAGCTGGGAGCTGGTTAATAAGTTCCAACAAAGTGTGTACTGCTGGGAGGCAGTGTTAGATCCCATGTAGAATTTTATTGTTGTTTTGTCTTGGAGTTGAGCTTGGAGACAAGTGAAGCAGCAGCAGAGTCTGTCACCAGAGGGAGAGAAAGAGAGAGAGAGAACAGCAATGACACTGTTGGGAAATGTTTAAAGCTACCTAAGTGTTAATGATCAGGATCTGACTCTGCTGCCTCTGAAAATCTCACTCTTCCCCTCATTTGCTGGTTTTGCTTCGCTTCAGGCAGGCTGGTTGTTCATGGGGGAAATCAAAGGGAATCAGCTCAACAATTCTGCTGTTGTGGGGCTGCCTGCAGTAAGTGCCACTTCCAGGGCACACAGAGCTCCTGACTGCACCCCTCGACCTTCTGGGGTCTCTGGGGACTGTGTCTGTGGAGGGCTCAGGCACTAATGAGCCCTTCAGAGGAGCAAAGGGAGCAAGTCCTGAGCCATCAGTCTGACAGGACATGGTCAGGCTGGAGCTGTTTGTAGCCCTCTGGCCAAGCAGCTGCACTGACCAGCCCCATCCAGGGAATTTAAGATGAGCCCAAGCATCCAACCTGACATGCAGCAAACCAGCACAACCCTTCTGACCCGAGGTAATTGCCTCTTGCTCCTCTTTGAGTTCTTGGTACGATCCAGGGAGAGGAGGGGACAGAAACAGGAGTAGAATTGCTACGGGTAAAGACTGTTTTAAGCAGCTGTTCCCAAATGATCCCCAAGGATTGTTCATTTCCAGAAAAGCTCAGTGCAGCAGAATGGAAGCAAACTGAAAGCTTGTTAAATTGTGAATGCTGTTTTGGGATATTCTTTAATCCTGCTGCCTGTGATTGTCTCTGCTAAAGTCTCTATCCCTGAACGGCTCCTCAGGAGATGTTTTCTTTCTTTTTTTTTTATAGGTAAGGAGTTACTTAATTGGATAAATGGTTCTCTGTTAGCTGTTATTCACTTGATGGCCCCTCTGGATAAAAACAGACCTGTAAGGATGCACTGAGCTTCAGCACAAATTCCAGGAGATGAGCTTTGCCAACGGGAAGCCAAGTCCCAATTATTGTGTTCTCCAGGGATTGTCTCAGTTTGGCCAGCGATGGAGAGGTGATGGCAGTCGTGGCATTTTGAAGCCCCTTTGGTGGAGGGCAGATTTCCCACAGCCACGAAGCCCAAACACAGCTTTAAAAAGGTTTGTAAAGTCAAATGAGAAGACTAATTTCTCATTTCTTAGTTTGCTGATGGGGAATGACCTCAGAGGGGGTTCAGCTGCAGGAAGGGAGAGGTGGAAGTCAAAAACTGCACTGATTGCCTGGGATGGGCTGTTGGTGTTCCTGGGAGCAGTGGAGGACTCTGGGGCTGTGTTTTGTGCTGAAACACCACCGAACTACAGCACCTCGTCCGTATTTCTACCCCAAAACCACGGTTTGAAAAAAACCAGAGAAAATCCAAAATTTTTTTAAAAAAAGATAAAAAAAAATCCAAAATGCATAAAGCAAACAAAAAAATACAATTAAAGGTCATTTTTTGGCCCTCCGTCGGGGCCGGGTGCAGTTCCCCCTTGTGCCCGAAGGTGGCGCTGCGGCCCCGGCTGGCGCTGGGGGGGGGCAGCTCCCGATGTCCAAGGAAAGGGGGAATTTTCCCCTTGGAAAAGGTGGATCTTTCCCTCTTTTTGGACCACTCTGCCCCGCGCAGACCTTGGCACTGCTCCCACCCAGCTCCCCGAGCTGCTCCCGGTCCATGGGTCACTTACCAAACCCACCAACTGCATCCGATGCCGCTGGATTTCGGGATAAATGAGGCTCTCCAGTGTCTCCCCTGTTGCTTTCCCACTAGTTAATTCCTGGTCAAACCCCCTGTAAATGAGACAGAGGTCTTTGCCCTGAATTCCTGCCATGACATTCCTCTGGTTACACACAAGCAGCAAAACATTTTGGGGCTGGTTGGGAAATTTTCACCAGTTTAAAAAAAAAAAAAAAAAAAGAGATTTGGTTGAGATTCTTTTATTTCTGACATGTGAAATGTCTGGATTTTTTTTCCTTGTGCCTGGCAGGATTTCTGCACTCAGAGAATATTCATATACTGATCTTGCTGACTTTCCTCAAGCTGTTTTTATTCCTACCACTGCTCTTCATATATTGCTTTTTTTCCCCTTCCTCTTCAGACTAAAACAAGAATAATCTCTTACGCTGCCTCAGACTGGGAGGAGGGTGGTGAGGGTTGTTTTTGTGGCTGACTGGGCAAGATATGCAGATGTTGCCCTGATGTGTGCATTAACCATGCCCACAAAATGCCAGGTTGATTCTGTTCTCTTCTCCTCCCTCTGAAGCTTCTGACAGAGCCCGTGGCTCCGGGAGGGCACAACAACGAGGAGCAGCCCTGTGAGCAACATTTATTTGGAGTTTAACAGGGGTGTTTCTTCCCCCTGCTGCGTGCCTGAGGAGTGACTCCAGGCCTGGCCCTGCCTCCCACAAAGCTGATTTGGCATTCTTGGGAGAGCTGATGTTTTTGGCTGGTCGGAGCTTCTGATAAATGTTGGCACATCTGATTTATTGTCTGACTCGGTTCCCAAGGAGACCACATATGTAGCAGCCTGAGATAAGCAGCTTATAACCCAAAGGTGAATGCCTTAAAATATCAGGGTCCCTTTCTCTCTCTCCATTGATGGTGAGCTCTTGCTTTTCCCTGCTATCTTTATTTCACTGTGTTATCAGAGAATTAAATACTTGGTGTTGTGTTGAGGAACCCTTCTGTCCTTACAATTGGCTGGAGTTATAAATTCAGTTGGATTTCCTGTTGTGGCTCTTGATGCAGATTTGTTGAGCACAATGCCAGTGTCCCTGATTCTGTGGCTTGATGGCAACTGCCCTGCTGAGAGCCAGAGCTGGGAGACCCAAAATCACCATGAATGTGCACACACATGTATTTCCTGCACTACCCACCCCCAGACCTTATTTGTGTGCTTCAATCTCCTCCTGCCCTGCTTGGGAGGGAGTGCAAGTGTCCTGCCTGGGCTGTGGGACCACCAGCTGGAGAATCCCAGAATGTTTTGGGTTGGAAAAGACCCTAAAGACCATTTTGTTCCAGCCCCTGCCATGGGCAGGGACACCTTCCATTAGCCCAGGTTGCTCCAAGTTTATCCAACCTGGCCTTGGACACTTCCAGGGATCCAGGGGCAGCCACAGCTTCTCTGGGCAACCTGTGCCAGGGCCTGCCCACCCTCCCAGGGAAGGCATTGGATGTGCAGGGCACAGTGACAGGGATGATTTTGTGCTGATGCTTTTCCAGCCGTAACTTCAGCGGGAATTTTTTGGTCTGTTTTACAAAGCAGGGCTGGCAGAGGTGCTCCTGCTTGGCGTAGAAAACACTCCAACCCTGTTGCTGGAGCTCTGCAGGCAGAGGACAGCGAGCTGGTGAGATACTGGGGGTTCATACACTGCTGGAAAAAAGACGAGTGCCTCCTGAAGCACCAGCCAAGGCCAAGGGATGTCTGTGGGTGAGAGGGACCAGCATCCTGCTCTTCAGGGCAGTGGACCCACCTCTGGAGTGACACAGATGTGCTCCTGCCCAGGCTGGCGTGCCCAGACACCACCTGCTGCAGAGCCAGCCTGCCCCTCTCCAGGGAGGGAAAGGGGGAGTCCTGTCAACTTATCCTACACCTTTTCCCCCTGAGCACATTCCAGCCGGGGTCAGTCTGGGAGGGTGTGCAGGGAGGGATTCACCCACCCTGTACTTTCCACCTTCCCCTGTCCCACCCCTGCCAGGCCATGTCTGCAAAGAGCAGCTCCCGTGTGGGAGCAGAGGGAACGGGATCGTTCCCGGGGCTGGTCCCAGGGTGTGACGTGGCAGCCTGGGCAGGAGGTGCCACGCTGGCACCGTGTCCATGGCATGGAATAAGGCAGCACAGGGGGTGTCTGGGCTGGCTGTGGGGTTGGTGGCTGTGCTGGAATCCCCTCTGGGATGCAAACCCTCCCTCCTGCAGGGTTCTCCTTTCTCTTCCCAGCAGTGGCCAGAAGATGATGTCAAAGCTCTGTGCAGTTTTTGGCTGAAGGGATGCTCCTCCCTAACTCTTGGTAGGCAGAGTTTTAATTTTGTAACTCAAGGTGAAAGCCCAGCAGCATCATTTGTGTGTTCCCAGCACTTTTTTTTAACCAGGTCAGCAAAAGGAAAATCAGAGTTTCCTGATTTTTCTCCACTCCTTCCATCAGCAGAGGGTGGGAAATCCCTTCTATGTTATCTTCAAATGTTTTTGGGTCTCTATCTTCACACCCTGGGTTTTTAATTTAGGCCAAGGGAGACTGGCACTGTTCACATCCAAACCCAACAGAGCAGCCTTTTAGCCACAACCATCTCCCCTTCCATGGGCAGACAGATGCCAGGGAAGGTAAAGCTTAAGGAACAGGTCTCTGGGTCTGTGCTGTGCCATCAAAGCCTGTGCTGGTGTTGAGTTTTGCTCTTCAAAGCCCATTTTCAGCCAAGATACACTCGGTTGATGTCTCTTCTCCCCGGGTCATTTGCAATCCAAGCTTGTTTTCAAGGAGTCAATTGGGCCAGGTGAGGTTTTTGTGGGGGAGAGGTGACAAAGAGGGAGCCAGTTCTTTTTCAAGCAGAGAAATTTTCAGACTGTAATTATTGTGTCTTCTGTGTGCGTGTCCACACCCAGCAGAGCTGGCTTTGATCTGTGCTGGGGGAGGCCGTGGAGAGGACAGACGGACACAGGACATCACACTCATTACTGGGGACAGAGCACAGGGATAACTGCACTGCCTTCCCTTGGGCTTTGGAAAACAGCAGCCTGGGATCCACCTGGCACCTCCTGGTAGCCCTGGGAGTGTGTGGTGAGGTGGGGCTGCTTTAAAAACACCAGGGCAAGGCAGGGGGAGGGGAAGGTGCTGCTGCCTCCTTGTCAGGGCTGGCAATGGACACTGCAATTAGTGCCAGGGCCATCAGTGCCCACGGCTGAACCCCCTGGCAGGAGCAAGGAGAGGCTCCAGTGATGCAGCAGCAGTGGCAGGTTGTTATCAGAGCACCTGACCCCGTCCAAAAGCTGCTTGTTGTTTAAGTCCCTGTGATTTTTGTGGTTGACTTGCAGCGAGTGGAAGTGTTGCTGGATTTGCTGAGGAGTGTTTTGTGCTGTCAGAGTGGCACAAAGGAGAGGAGCAATTCAAGTTCACGCATCACTGGCACGTTTGTGTGAAAGCAGAGTTTATGAGGTAAAAGGTTTCTTATCGTGGCCAGTGCCAGGTGCTTTTAAAGCAGTTTTTAAATGTTGATTGCCCGTAAGAACTGGAAACTAAAATAAAAAATTGGACATATTCTGCTGAATAAAGGCTCCCTGCCACTTATGATTGTTGCCTTCTGGTAGCACAGGAGATGCAAAACTGCATTCATCTGAATTTTAAATTCTGAGCTACAAAGAAAACCATTTGGGTAAAATTTGAAGCAGGGTAAAAATTCACTCTGCAGAGTAAAATTCACGTCCAACCTGGGGGCCAGGAAAAAAAATGGAGCAACATTGTGGAAAGTCTTGTGATGGGCTTTGCACAAGAGAAGATTGCTTCATTTTTTCCAAAATTTTCAGGATCTCATTAAATATGAGTGGATGCTAGACTGAATCTGCAGGGGCTTTCACAACCTTCCCTCAAATGTGACTCTGTGTCATTCCATCTGCATGTTTAACCAAATAATTCTCTGATTGTGTTGGTTCAGTTGATCACCTTGTGAGGAAATATTGCAGCTTTGGAATTCTGGGGGTCTAAAACCACCTACTACTCTGTGTCCCCTTACACAGAGATGAACCAAGAGAATGAGTGACTTAGTCATGGCAAATGGCTCTAAAGTGATTTAAAAATTCAGCAGCTGAAAGGGTCTGGGTTTTGTGTTCAGCAGAGGAGATTAAAATGGGGTTTTGCTTCGTTACACCATTTTTGGAGGTGCATTCTTAGTCCTGGTTGGGCACAGATCCCACCTATGTTGTCTTCTTTTTTTTTTTGGGTCTGTAGCTTCACCTGCTGTGTTTTCAATGTGGGCCAAGGGTCCCTGGCACTCCTGGCACTCCTGGCACTCCTCACATCCGAGGCAGCTTGAGGCACATTCGCCTCTCGCTCTTCCCTTGCCAGCGTCGGCTGAGGAAGCTTTCTGGGAGTGTTCTGCAAAGCACAGTGGGAATCACAGACCAGATCTGTTCTTGCTGGAGCCTTGCTAGCCTCAGAATCAAATATCTGCTTATTCTTTTCAAAATGAAGGCAAATAAATTGGCAGCAAAGGAAGTGCTGCTGCCGAAACCTCCGAACGGTGCAGGCAGAGGGGGGTGTGAGCTTTGGATTCTTGTTGTCCTTTGGTCCTGGAACCCCTTTTCTCTCTGGGCAGCCTGTTGGCACTGAGAGGCAGACAGATGACGAGGCAAAATCGGGTGAATTTCTCTTAAATTTAATTCCTGTTAGCTTGCTTTTGTGCGAGGAACTGTTGGATGTGCCCAGTGGACACAGGACCAGCTTCTCTTTGGGGAAATCAGGATGAGAGTCCCAAAGCACCCCTATTTCAAGTGTTAGTGGAAATTTCCCCTTCCAAAGCAGGCCATATGCTGGAGTGGGATGAACTAATCAGCTTCTGCCGAGGCACAGCAGGGAAGGATCCCAGTGTGGCTGCACCCACGGTGGAGCAGCCCCGGGTTATTTTTAATTAGCACTTTCCCGCAGGAAATAAGTGTAAGTCAGAGAAACGCAGGAGATCGAGTCTTTTTTTACCAGTCTGGCTTTCCCTGTGCCTGCACAAGCTTCTCCCCACGCTGCCATGCAGATGGCAGTGCCAGGGAGTGCCGTGGTGCTGATTTCCCTCGTGTGGCATCAGCCACAGACATCGAGCTGTCAGCGCTCAGATGACACCAGGAGCGAAGCACCAGGGATTTTGTTCGGCTTCTATTTGACCAGCTTTGCTCCCAGTTGGTTTTTTTTTCCAAAATAGGAGCCCTGCTTTCTAGTGAGAACTCAGTTGAGTGCAGCTCACTTGGTTAAGCTCATGTCTGCAATGGAGAGAGAGAGAGAGAGAGATTCCAGCTATGACTCCTGCTTCGAAGAGGAGAGACACTGCTGCCCTGAAAGTGGAAAGGATCTTTCCTTCTTCCCATTGGAGGGAAAGGAGGGACTTGATCTAATGTAAATCTTGCTTTACTACAGGATAGTTAGAATTGTGTATATAATATAGTATTTATTTGTGTAATAATTGTAATATAACTCCCTTCCCCCCATATTGAGTCTTGTGTTATGTCTGGAAAAACCTCTCGCACTGCAACGAATTGTGGGACTTGGGGCTTGGACTTGGAAATGGGATTTTTGGGGGGTCTCAAACTACGACAGTGTCACACAGGCAAAGCAGCTGAAAATGTCCCCCTGGCTGCTTGGGAATGCTGATGCTTGTTGGGAGAACAGCGTGGCTGATGTTTCCTGTTGAGAAGAGGGAATTTTGGGGGTGGTGCCTTAGCAACCTGGAGTTAATTCCACTGGGGGTGTTCAAGGCAGGCAGCCTGCTTGGCTCTCTGCTGGTTTTCCTGTGCCCTGCATGAGTTGAAGAGCACATCCCTGCTCCGTGAGTGCTGTATCTGCACAGGTTTGGAACAACCTGTTTTCTTTGTAGGCTTTTTATAGGTATTTGACTAGAGGCTATGTGCTTTGTGCATGCTAAAGCAAGAGCAAAACCTAATAATGCAGCAGAAATCCAGGAGCCCTGGCACAGAGAAGGATCCTTTTAGGTATGAGATGATGGGGTTGGAATGAGATGATCTTTAAGTTCCCTTCCAGCCCAAACCATTCTGTGATTGTATGATGGAGTCTGTGCAAGAGCTGACTATTCATAGGCTTGCAAATTCCTGTTGGAATAGGAAGAGGTGATCCCCAGCTGCAGGAACAGGCCTGGCTTGGTGTCTCTTGTAGTCTTGGAATTAAGGAGTCTCCTCTTCAGGCTTTACCTCTGATCTCTGACAGCCAGTGGTGCCTTTCCTTACCCCCCTTGGCTGCCTTGTTTTCCCAGCAGCTCCTCTGAGTCTCTGTGCTCCCAGTTTCTTGCACAATAGCCCCGTGGTGGTTGCACTACCCTGGCCTGTAGACACTCCCTTAGTCCAAATAATAGCACACAAAGGTTGTTTACTTGGCTGTTCCTTGGGATATGCTTTCAGAAACCACACAGACTGCAAACGTAATAAAATACGGAACAATGGCCTCTCCTGCCGAAGTAATTGGGTGCTTTATAATAAATGACCCTTTAACTTCACTTTCAAAAGTGTGCCGGGGAGAAGAGCAGAGAATAAGAGGGAGCTCAGTAATTTCTGCCTCTTGTCATAGGACTCTTCCCTGGATTCAAAGCCTGGGTTCTGTCCCAGGAGGGGGTGACCCATCTGTCACCTGCTGGA